CAGACGTGTGCTCTTCCGATCTCCCCAAAACCCCAAAACCCCATATGGCCTAATTTTACAAAATCACGAAACTTAAAGTATTGAGAATTAATAATTTACGATTTCTAAAATTTATTCATAAATTCTTTAAGTTGTAAAAGAATATGGAAAAATAATAGACTTACAAGCCTAAGTCAACAAAAGATGCGGAGGCGATGGGGACTCTTTCATTTGGAAAACAAAATACGGCCTTTTTTGAGGAACATCATAAAACTCTTGATGCCAATTCTTTCTATTAAGGAACAGAATCATATTTCTAGGAGAAGAAAGATAGATCTCACCTGCAAATAATCAATGAATCCAAGGATAACATAATGAGTTTAAATACTAAGCATCATATGTCAAAATTTACTTAGTATATTCCGAGCAAAGAGGAGAAGCGATCAACAAACAGTCAAAATAAAAATACTAGCAATTAAAGGCAGTGTAAATTTTCATCATAAGCATCGCAATCAATATCAAATGATTTGCATGAGGATGGTAGGATTGCTCTTGTCGAATAAACGCTGGAAAATATTTAGGAAGAGGCTAAAGAAACAGCCAATTAAGTTCTTATTTCTTAGAATCAAGTCTAAACACAAGAAAATGAGGCCAATAAGTTGATAATAACTGTAGATTAACTTAAAGATTACTAAGGCATTAGAAATCCAATGACAAAGTATCAACTAATTTTTATTAGTCTAGCTTATATTTCTAGTGTTATTGCTGCATTTCCTCTAAGTTTAAAAGGCATTATTACAAAATCTTGTGATATTCACACTAACTTCTAATATCACTTGATTTACTTCGTTTTTGTCTTCCTTGTAATTATTACGACTGACATTTACTCAATGATTGTGAATGGAAGAATCATAGATAAAATTAACTCACAAAACTAGCACTACTATAAATAAAAGTCTTTTAGTTTTTGTGGCTGTATTTGTGATCAGTTCGTAGTGTTTTTAAATTTACTCTGTTCTGCTTGTTTCATATTCGAACTATATTCTGATCTAATTATCATTTGGATTGGCGTTTTTAGTTAACAATATGCTATTTTCGGCTTCTTTGCTGTTATTTTTCCATTGGTAAATAGAATCACACAGATTTACTGTGTTATTAAGTTATTTATTTTTGCTTTGAAGTAAATGCGTAAAACCATCGCAAATGAAAGAATTGATCAACTCGTCCTTATCTTGAATATGTATAATATAAGTTGATTATTTTTCCCGAATTTAGTACACTAGAAATCAAGGCTTTATCTTATATTGATAATCAAAGAGTGCTGTTTAAAGTTAATTCAGATTATTATCAAGCTAATTATTGTAAGTTAATCTTTGACATAAGCCTGTTCTGATTCTAATACAGTTGTGCTAGTTTTAATGATCGGTGCTAATCTACTTTCCATTATATAGCTGGTATTTTTTATGACTGACAAGTTGTCTCAAAAAGTTAGATCTGTGTTTGATACTAGTAAGCTTACACTACTAAATCAATATAAAGTTGGAGCTTAGGAATTTAAAGTAGTAATTACTGATAAAAATTAGGATATGATTTTAAAATACTCCAATCAATATATAATTAAGAATGGATTTATCAAACAAATTAGCTTCAGTTTTTAAAATCAAAGATAACTCATTCAATAGTAATATCGAGAGGTATTTCTAAGAATGATTCTCAATTACTAGTAAACTAATATAAAAATCAAAGAGATTAAGATATTTGAATCTTGATTGTCTTTTTAAGACTTTACCTTGATAAAGAAGATCATATAAACACTACCGAGGATTTAAAGACTGGAATTGATTAATTGTTAGATATTCGAGAAGGAAAGAGATTGTATTGATGAAATACTCGAGTCTATAGTGTTAAGTAAATATTTCAAAGACCTAGTTTTATGTTATGCTAGCAGTAATAAGCAGTGGCTTTATAGCAGAATACAGTAAATAATATAGGAAAATAAATCCTTGAGTATTCAATATATAGATACAAAAAATAAGGAAGAAGACGTGTTGTATGATAGTATTGATCTTGAAAATATCAAAAGGATTAGAATTATATTAAAGAAAAATCTGAAGTTTCTGACATTTAGAGATTGGGAGTTCCTCGTCAGAGGGCTATAACTAAAAGCATGTAAAATTTTAGATTTTACAACTCTATTTGAAATTAGTCAATAGTTTTAAAATGAATTCCAAAAAAAAGAAAAATTAACATTCCTCAGACTAATTAATGACTACCTTATTGAGAGCAAAATAACTGAGAAGATAGCTTTAAGAGTAAAATTTGAAATTCCTCACAAAGAGATTATAAATAACAAATTTACAATAAATGAAGAATGCCTCTAAGAGCTATTAGATACACTTCAACATAGTAATAAATTGCATTTAAAGGTCCAATAATTTAAGTTGATACACAATTCAGTAGACTCAGTAGAAATGTAAGAAGAGGTTCATTCACTATTATTCAAAAGTCTTTTCTAAAAATTTCGCAATTTAAAGGTGCTTGAACTTCAGAATATAAATCTCTAGAACTCCAATATATTTGAGAAAATGAGGCCTCATAAAAGTCTGAATGAGCTAATCTTGAAAAATTGTTAATTAAATGACATTGAAGGAATAGAAGAGTTGAACCTGTTATAATCACTTAATCTTAGTCTTAACAATTTTTCCTTTACTGAACCGATATAATTACTATGGCTACTAAAGAAAATCAAAAATTTAGATATATCTGGAAATCCTTTATTTATCAAGCCTGAACTAATATTTCCAGAAAATATCATTGTCGATCTTTAAGATCAAAAGATTGAGATAATTAATATATCCTCTACTTAGTTGGAAGATGAATAACTTGAGAAATTACTGGCAATATATATTTCAAATGTAGATTCGATAAAGCAATTAAATTTGTCTAAAAATTAACTGACGGATGCATCAATGCCTTATCTAAAGGAATATCTTATCTCTAATGATGAAAATCTAGAAAATGAAGGTAAACATCTAAAGTTAGATATAAGCTACAATCAGTTGAAAGATAACTACGAATATTTGATATTCAATCCGAAAATTAAAGATTTGAAATTAGGGGGTAATGAAATAGTTTTTTCTCACAAAACCATTGACATTGCCAGCACGTCAACTTTAACTCATCTTGATATTTCAAATTAAAGCTTGAAAGCGTAAAGCATTTAGGATTTTATTAGGCTAGCTAATTATCAAAGCTTGACTCATTTAAATTTCTAAAATCTTGGTCTGACTTAAGTGTCTACCAACCATTTGCTTAAGCAGATACTGATCAACAATCTTCGGATAGAATACATAAATTTTTCTTATAATAACGTTGGATGGAAAGGCTGCAAAGTACTTAACCTCATAATTCAAAGAATAAAAAAGCTTCGCATTTTACTTTTGGATTACGCCAATATACAATGTGTTGGTTTGACCTACTTATGGCTGGCTCTTAATGACCCTAATTAGGAAGATCTAGTACTAGAACATTTATCAGTACGTTAAAACAACATAAATGTTCAATGGGCTGTATGATTGAACTTTAAATTATGCAATCCTCTGAGAGTTAAATACTTAGACTTGGCGGAGAACAACTTAAATGATAAAGCAGCAAAGGAAATTTAAGTTTATTTCTCAAAGAATAAACATCTGGAGGTTTTAGATTTAAGCAAAAATGGTTTAAGAAGAGCAGGTCTAAGAAGGCTGAGAGAGCTCATTAGATTAAATGTAACAATGAAAAAGTTAATACTTGCAGGAAATGAAGACATTGAACAAAATATTGAAATGTGTGAACGCAGACAAAGATTCAGTGAAACAAATTAGCAAATAATTTACTACTGAAGATAAGAAGATAAAAAGAAATCAAAGGTTATAAATAAATTGAATTTTAGAATGATCTTATGCAATTTATGATCTATCAAAACACTTATGTAATTTTAATAGTTAAAAATTAAATATAATAAACTTATCTGTTTATATCCAAATAAGCTGTTAAAAATCTTCATGCGGTAAAAGTTAAATAAGAGTCTTCATAGCTTGTATTTGTTATGAACTCAGCTATTAAGCTTACTTAGGCTCTGTATTGAAGATCTAATGATACTGATAGCTTTTCAGCTAGATTGTACCTAATGTGATTATTTTCCTTTAGTGCTGTAGATGACTGATTTTTTGAATAATATGGCGTGTTACTGACTAGCACCTTTTCTCTCAATGCCTTATTCTCTTCACCGACCTGCGTAGGGAAATTCTAGACAAGATACATCTTGTCTACTGAGGGGTATGCTTGGAAGACTACAAAGTGGTATCTTGAGTCTGCCTTCTGCTAGAATGTGATTACAGTTCTGAGGTAATATGAGGGATCTTCAACTACTTAATCATTCAAGAGGATATCAAAGTCTTTCTAATTAGCAATAGAAGGTCTGTACTCAACTCTAATGTGATGTGGGTTCTTTTTCATTTCTTAAAGGTCTTATTAACTTAATATCTTTGTATACATCAACAAATGCAACTTGTTAGCATTATTTGGTGCCTGAATAGCTCCAATCAAAACTAAATTGTGTTGATCGTAGGCAATCCTAAAAATATTTAATTTTAAGAGATCTTACTGTAGCTCATTTTACAATCGCTGTCTCTTTTGATTGGGATCTACATCAGTTGTTTCGAATTGAAAAGTTCTTAATGTAAACAAATCGGCTATAGTTTTTTCATCTAGTCCCTTGCTGAAAAATTAATACTCATACTTCTTTAGATTTTAATCACATTAAAGTCCCACTATAAATTCCTCATCGGGGTTCATAGGATTGTTTTGTATGGTAACAGGAATGAAAATTTAGTTTGTCTTTGTCTTTATTAGATTTATAAAAGTCTATAATGAGAGCATAAAATCATTCAGACTCTCTTTTGAGAAGCACAATAATAGAGTTTTAGCATCTCGATCTGTATAAAGTTTAAAGGTTAGTAAGAAATTTACTCTTATCCAAGAAGCTATTAATAAACGTTTGCTAAGCATTGACTTCAGTCATTTTATTAATCCTTTTTTCGAATTCAGATTAGTTTAGATTGATAAAGTTTTAGTCAGATCTATTGTAACAGCAAGTTCCTCCCATATTAAAATTAAACTTTTATATTTTTAATTTTTAAAGTTAATATATTTCTTATCATTAATAACAAGAGTTTAAAGACTAATAGCAAACTCATATACTTTTAAGATTCAATAACATTTATCTCTCTATTTGTTATAATCTTTGTTTATCATGCAGTAAAATCAGTATTTAACAAATTTCTTATAGATTTTGCGCTCTTCAGTTTTGATATCCTACTCTATGGCCATAGCTTAGAGCTTTTTTTGCTGCTTTTTTCTTTTTGCTTTCTAAAGTTCAAAATTTTCTTATTTCTTTAGTATCATCTAAGCATGTGGATTCGAATATAATATTTGCAAACGGTCTATTTTCCAATGCTCTCCAGGATCCCTCATTCTCTCTATGGAATCATTAAATAGGCCAGTTGTGCTTTTTTTAAGTTCTGCTAATTCTCTAAGTCTCTGTAAATGGTCCTCTTTAGTATCAGGTAACTGGACTAGATTAAATGGATTGTTGAAGTCCAATACTGATTTAATCTTTGGCGAGATAGACCTCCCCATGTATTCTCTTTAATTCATTCCAGAAAATTAGCCAAGATTTTCATTGTCCTCTTGCAATAGGATTCTCATATTATCCTGCTGAAGTTCCTTTTCGAACTCTTATCTCGGTGAAGAGATCATAAAACCAGTAATTTTGTCTTTGTTCTTTGCTCTTAATTACTGATAATCCTAAATAGTCTAACCTAATTATTTTATTGTTTTTAGGTCTGAATAGTTTTTGTATCTGAGAGATGAATATCGCTCCGGATTGTCATTTTATTAGCTTGTTTACATTGTCATATCTTAACTTTACTATTGACTATTTAGAGATCCTCCTAGAATCTTTTGAGATGAAAAGAGAGTAGCAAAATTGTTGATGCTTCCTGACATCTATAATCGTGAGTCAGGGGATCTATTAATTTTACTAATAGTATCCTCTTTTGATTTATCTCTTCTAAATGGATCATTGGACTTTCTTCTGTTCATTATTCTACCAGGCTAGCTAGAATTCTTCTTTAAAGTAATTGTAGGAGGTGATCTCATATCTTATTGATTATCCTAATGACTAATGATTTTTAAGGATATTTCAGCAATTTTCTTCTAGCTTTCTCTTGCCAAAGACTTCTCATTCAATGCACTTAAAGCAGATTCCCTGATCAAATCAGTGCTCGATCTAGTATCATTAAATGTAGCAACTGATGGTGATGTTTAAAAATTCCTGCGTAATTTACCAGAAATCGACTATGACAAGTAATTTCCATACTATTCCAAAACTCTATTAGCATTTTCAGTAGTCTATTAATACTATCTTGTTTGCTAGAAATAATCTACAGGCTTGCTTGATTAGTTCTTATAGGATTTATAAAGACCTGATATATTTTTACGGTTCAACAATTTCCCTTCACGATCAATTGGTGACTTTGAATAATTCTCATCCTCATTTTAAATCCTGCCTCCCTCAGAGAAAATTTCTTATCTTGGATCATCAATAATTGTGGGAAGTGTTTAAAACATTTATCCACTTCTATCTTTCGTAATATTTCTTTATTTAGATTTTCCAGCTTTTCTAGGAAGATTATATACTTTATTAGATTATTCTTTTTATTAATTCTTTGAGTTCTAATCTATCAGCTCTTGTCTTTTCATTAGAGGCATTCTAAATTATGTATAGCCTTCAAACTTATTTAGGGATGGAAGGTATGTATTCTTTGGAGGTTCATGTAAAAATTTTAGACTTTAGGTAGGAGAAAGGACAAGTTCCTATGATTCAGCATCTTTATCCTCTACAGTGATTGTATTTAAAAAATCTGTTCTTTAGTTGAAAGTAGCATAGCCTGTTAACTGTGGATTGTATTTGGGAAGTAATTGCCCTCCGTTGTTACATTTTACTTTTTTACCATTACCATCGATTAAAAAGTATCTTCCTTTATCATCACTGAACCATATTTAGTTGGATGGTTTACCAGTCAACTCATTTGCATCTTTTGTTTTTTATTATTGTGCTGATTATCTATATTCCATTATTATCTTGCCAAAAAAGTTTTAATATCTCTATTTTAACTATTATAAGTTTTTTATTTTATTTACTTCAACTAGTTGTTCAACATATATTTGAATAATCCTCTCATGGGGTTTTGGGGTTTTGGGG